ACCCAGACAACAATTTCTTCACCACTGCTATTCGTCCCCACGGAATATTTGGTCCCAGAGATCCTCAGCTGGTTCCCATCCTCATCCAGGCAGCTCAGAGTGGCAAAATGAAGTTCATAATTGGGTGAGCAAGGCTCAGGCATTTTATAACTCTGTTAAAATTGATGCTGAACCTACAAGGCCCTTTTGGAAGGGAACAATATGAAATCTGTAGTGTTGTTTCTTGGATTTTCAACTTGTGATCTACGTGTTGGGGGCTCAAGCACTGAGATGGTGAGTGTTCATAATGCCAGAGGAATATCCATGAGGAAAACTGATATGGCTTGAGCTGCCTGCATAGTCTAAAGAGCTGTGCTATGAGATAGGGCAGAGCTTAGATTACTTGCTGTTAATTTGATTTATACACACTTCTGGTATCTGAGGTTCCTCCAATTAAAAAGCCTATTAAATATTAGAAGTATTTTAATATTTCCGATTATGACATCAAAGGTATTTGCCATGTTACTGAGCCTTGCAGAGCCTCTAGTGGACCACTGAAATTTCAGAGCAAGAAACAGCTAAAACTGTTTTGCTCTGGAAAGAAGTGTGCTCTTTAGTTTAGAATGGATTTGTATTACATGGAAGGACCTGGTCTGGGTGTGTATGTGCACATGTGAACACATGTGAAGCACATAGGCTTGGGTTAAAAGAAGGAGGAGGATAAAGTTGTGGATTTTGGGGTATTGGGTTTTCGGTTTGGGGCATTTTTGGTTCTTATTTTGCCTTACTTGTGATCCAAGTTCACTCACACCAATCCATGAGCAGGAAACCTGCACTAACTCCAGGTTAACGTTTGGTGCAAGTCAGCTCAAACCTGCATTTCTCACTTCAGGTTTCCTACCACTATGTAAACCTGTGTACACCTTCCAAGAAAGGAAATCAAATAGCTGTTCATCCATGAACACAGGGAATGAACATCATTCCTTCTCAGGGCCTTGGAATGCAGTAATACTGGTTTTTGTGGCCAAATATGATGGTTTGTAACGAACTATTTGTTTGGTTTACTTTGAGTTATTTGATTTCAAACTGAAAGAAAGTAGGTTTTGGTGTTAGGAAGCAATTCTTCCCTGTGAGGGTGGTGAGGCACTGGCACAGGTTGTCCAGAGAGGCTATGACTGCCCTGCCCCAGGAAGTGTTCCAGGCCAGGTTGGACAGGGCTTGGAGCAACCTGGGCTAGTGGAAGATGTCCCTGCCTGTGGCATGGGGTAGGATGTGATGGGCTTTAAGGTCTTTTCCAACCCAAACCATTCCATGATTCCATGATTTAGCTGGACTAAGTAGATTCATTTTCTGTACCTGTGCAGAAATAGATTTCACACTGTGGGTTAAATCTCTTCCAGCTGAAGATGAAGTTGACTTATTGAGGGAGTAAGTTAGAATTTTATGAGCCAGGAAATTCCTAATTGGAAGCTTGTCCTCAAGTGATGTTCTTTGTGCTACTTACCCCTCTGTTTCTGCTTGTTCTGCTTCCATGGATCACTGCTGATCCTCAGACCTGGAGGATCTACAACACCTAGAAATTTGGCAACTTGGGAGGGTTAAAAATGGTGCTTTTAGAGGAATGTAAACTTCGAGGGCTGTGTCCAACATAAAATGTAGTAATTCCACCCTCCCGACAGGGTATGGCCTGAGGTTGCAGCAGTAGAGAGTAGGAGAAGCAGAAACTTGGGATAAATATGTCTTGTGTGAAGTTCTTCCTTTTGCCACAAGCAGATTATCAGCCTAACTAGCCTTAGAGCTAAAACTTCTTACTTTTGTCTGTGCAGGGATGGAAAGAACCTGGTGGATTTCACCTATGTGGAAAATGTGGTCCATGGGCACATCCTGGCTGCAGAAAAGCTTCAGAAAGGCTCACCTGTGTGTGGGAAGGTGAGGAAGGGCACTGAGGGGAGGGGAAGGAGTGTCCCCCAGCCAAACTTAAGCTGCAAGCCTCTGCCCCATTCTCCAGGCTGATTTTCGTGTGCCCTGAACATCCTGGGGTGAGTTGAGCTCCACACACGAAGAGCTCAGCTTTTCTGTCTGTGGCTGTAATGAATAGTTGCTCATGTGGTGACCATTCTATGCACCCACATAATCTGTCTGAATATACTTGAATTTCATGCTGTAAAACCATCTGTGGAAGGAAATCCAGGCAGAACTGCGGGCAGCTGAAGTGCACATGTGGAAACATAGAAGCTTCTAGGACAGAGCTCAGAATAGGAGAAGTTTTTACAGCCTTTCCTGGCCCCACCATGCTCTGGGCATGCACTGTACATATGTCAGATGCTTTCATGTGTTTGCATTGTGGTGTGTCAGGCAGTTTGTGTGAATTTTGGCCTCAGAATGTGGGAAGTAGCTGGTTTTCTTGGCAAAAGAGGGATTCATCCCTTTACAGACAGAGGTGGTGGTTAGTACAAAGCAGTTTGTCAGGAAAAGGTGTTCTTGCCCAGGTCAGGGATGTCAGTCTCCTCAGCATGAGTGTGAGATGGACCAGCACAGAGCCAAAGTTGTGCAAACCACAAGGATTTTATCATCCTGCTTCTTGTCTTCCTCTCTTTTCAGGCATTTCATATCACAAATGATGAACCAGTTCCCTTCTGGGCTTTCATGTCCCGTATCCTGACTGGCTTGAACTACGACCCCCCTAAGTACCACATTCCCTACTGGTTGGCGTATTACCTGTCCTTGCTGCTGGCCCTGCTGCTGTGGCTGCTCAGGCCCCTGGTCACCATCAAGGCCACATTTACCCCCATGCGGGTGGCACTGGCTGGGACCTTCCACTACTACAGCTGTGAGAGAGCCAAGAGGGACATGGGCTACACTCCTGTGGTGAGCTTGGATGAGGCCATAGCCAGGACTCTGCAGAGCTACCCCCACCTGTGCCGGGCCAAGGCCTGAGGAATCCCTCATGGATCTGGATTTATTTCTACTTGGTATTTGTAATTGCTTTGACATCTTACCATGAGCACTGAAGCAAATTTCCCAGATTCTCTGGAATGAGTTTTCCTGACATCCCTCATCCTCCTCTGGGTTGAAAAACCCTCATGTAGGAGCTGTGGTAACAGTTCTTTTCTTTGATGTGACTTCTTATTTTGAAACAGCTGCTGAACTCTGTGGACTATGAATAAACACTGTGCTGTGCCCCCTTCAATCCCAACCCAGCATATCAACATTCCTTCTCTACTCTCTCCACCCTTGTCCTGTGTTTTGTTGCTCTGGTGACAACAGCCACCTCTTCCCAGGGCTGCAGGCTGGGTAAGGAGACACTGCTCATGGCTGGTTCCTCTCTGGGGTTTGGCTTTTCTCTAGGCAAGAGCCATAAAAGACAGGCTCATGCCAAAAAGGAGTTCTGCACCATCTCTGGAATCACTGCAGCTCATTTTGTTCTTCTCTCCATGATCAGTGGATAATTTGGCTGCCATTAGAAAGGAACCTGAGGAAGGGTCTCTCTGTAAGAAAACCTGTGCCTTTGTTTCTGCAGGAGCCTATTTCTGGTCAAAAAGAACCCAAATAAATCACAAAGAGATGGCTCTAGTTTTGTGTCCCACTTTTGAAATGGCAGTTCCCATTCTGACTATCTCAGCATAAAAAGGATTTTAATGATCCCTTTTGTGGGGGGAGAGATCTCTGCTGTGGCTGCTGGCAGGGAGTACACTGTTCTACCATAACTCACTTCCCATGGGAACTACAGTGGCTTGAAGCACAAAGCTCTCATCTTCTCTGCCCCGTCAGTTCTGCTCATGGTGATTTTTGTTGCTTTAACCACTTAGTCCATGAAAAACCCTCTTTTCCACAAGGAAATGGTTAGAATGCAATGGTCCCCAAGCTATTTTGTTCAACACATATATTAAGTATACTTTAGCCTATAATCTTCTTAAAGTGCCTCAGTTCTGTTTTGTTTTTAAATAAAGTGTTTAGGTTAGAGTTGGAATTTCCCTCCATGCCAGTTCCTGGCTCCTTGGAGTTTTGGTGTTTCAAATTTCAGAAGTATGGGAAGTACCTCAGTCATAGAATCCCAGAATCTCAGAATGGTTTAGGTTGGGAGAGACCTTAAAGCTCATTCCACCCCCTGCCATGGGCAGGGACACCTTCCATTAGACCAGGTTGCTCCAAGCCCCATCCAACCTGGCCTGGAACACTTCCAGAGATGGGGCAGCCACAGCCTCAACCACAATGAGCCTTAACCTCATCTGTAAGCTCAGTATGCTGCTTGATTCCTATAAAAATGGTTTTATTTTAACTTTTGGATGTTTTCTGGAGAGTTTTATGTTGGACTTTTTTTCTTGGGAATTTTTATGTGCTCCTTTAACAGCTAATTTTACCAATCTTGGCCTTGTTTAATCTTGAAGCAAATACTGGCCAGTTGCTTGGTTCAAACCATTCTGGTTTGCACTGGTCAGCCACCTTGGCCTCCTGGAAGCAGGATAACACTGCCCTCACACAGGGAGGGGGTGAGGGAATAGGATTGTCCTGAGTGGAAGGATCATCCAGCACTCCCATTACCTGAAGTCAAATAAAACTCCCTTTTGGCATTTCCTGGCTGGATCTGCCTTGCAGCTCCAATCTGTCCCAAAAATGCCATCTCTCAGCCCTTGGACACAGCTCCCTGTGTCTCTGGGGACCTGTCAGGGTAGGAGGTGAAAGTACGAACCAGAAGGTGGTGTAAAAACAAGAGGCACTTGAAGTGTGCTGGCTAAAAGCAGCAGGCAGTACATCTTCCCTCACGTGTCTGGTGAATGCAGGGAGGAGAAGCCAGAGGTTTGCTGGAATGGGGGCTGGCAGTTCCCGAGGCTGGGCATGGAAGGAAGCATTGCACCATACCCATGTTGGATGGGTTGTTCTCCTTATGGAATTAGGGCAGCTGCCAGTGTTTCTTCTGGCAGCTGATGAGCTGCTGTGTTCCCAAACACAAGTAAACAGGGATTGTTGCTGTGGTGGAGCCTGACATTGCTATGTCCATATCCCTGGCCACAGCACAGAAGGAACCTTGCTTTATCCATAGCCTCTCCCATTCCTGATCCAGTCTCAACTAATTTTCTCATTCTAGTAATCATTAGTCCCATCTTGTGTTTTCTGGGCAAGCTGATGAGATCCTTCTGTTCCTTCCTGCTTGCTATATGTCTGTCTTGCCCCCTCATCAGTACAGGAAGGACATGGACCTGTTAGAGCGAGTCTAGAGGAGGCACCAAGATGATCAGGAATGGAGCACTTCTGCTGTGAGGAAAGGCTGAGAGAGTTGGGATTGTTCAGCCTGGGGAAGAAAAGGCGTTTGGGGTGACCTAATTGTGCCTTTCCAGTACCTGAAGGAGGTACAAGAAAGATAGAGAGAGACTGTTTACAAGGGCCTGGAGTGACAGGACAAGGTGGAATGGCTTCCCCCTGTCAGAGTAGGTTTAGATTGGATATTAGGAAAAAATCCCTCCCTGTGAGGGTGGTGAGGCACTGGCACAGGTTGCCCAGAGCAACTGTGGCTGCCCCATCCCTGGAAGTGTTCCAGGCCAGGTTGGTTGGGGTTTGGAGCAAGCTGGTCATGTGGAAGGTGTCCCCTGCCCATGGCACGGGGTGGAACAAGATGAGCTTTAAGGTCCCTTCCGACCCAAACCATTCTGGGATTCACAGCCTTTATCCTGTGTGTGTCAGCAAACAAGAGGCTGAGAAGCAAAACTGCCGTTATCAAAATTTCCTTTCAAGCACCCAGAGTCAAACGCAGGTGCAATCTGTCCTTGTTAGTCATGCTCAACAGGAGCTCCTCAAGACTTCAAAGACTTCCCTGAAGCACTCTCATCAAACTTCTTATCTCTCCCGCTCTGCTTTCTTGGGTTTTTCTTGCTACAGCTCCTAATTTTGCTGACCTGAGACTGGTTTTGGCAGTGGGAGAGGTGAAGGAGAGATCTGTTGCGTACCTTAGAGAAAAGAGAGGATGGGAAAGAGATAGAATATTAAACGTGCTTTTCTAGGTGGAGGTAAGGTAACCAAGAACCTCATTTCCCCTCTTACAGAGATTGCAAAGGGAATGTGCTCAGGAGGAGTGTTACAGACTAAGGAATTCCTTTCAGTCTTGCCCTTGGAGTGTGGGGGAAGCTCTTGTCCAGACACACCCCTGTGCCAGAAAGGAAAAAGGGTGACTTGGGTGTAATTACTTGAAATGGGTAAGAGGAAAAATTTATGAAAAGCAGGTCAGAAATTACCTTGCATGTCCAGGGAGCAAAAAGGCAGGGAGGCAAGCTCCAGTCGAGCCTGAGCTGGGTGTGCAGAAAGTGTTCAAGGCTAGGCTGGATGGGGCTTGGAGCAACCTGGTCTAGTGGAAGGTGTCCCTGCCCATGGCAGGGGATGGAACAAGATGGTCTGTAAGGTCTCTTCCAACTCAAACCATTCCATGATTCTATGAGGTTTGGGTGGAGGATAACTGTGGGAGCTCAGCACCTTCAGTGACTTACAAACACAGGGACCTATGGCGCATCATAGTGCTCAAACTCATCCATTGAGGAAGCTGTGGAAGGGGTGTCTTTGGGCTCAGGAGATACTTACCTCTGGTGTTCCCATCTGCTGATGGCAGTGAGCACCAGGCATGGATGTTTCCACACCTTTCAGCACTGCAGAGCCAACCATGGCAGGATTGGGCTGGACTCTGCTCCTCAATAGGACTGTTTACCAAGTTTCGCTGGTGCTTGTGCAAGGCCCAGGAAGGTGCCAGGCCCACAGGTGTGAGTGTGGTGCAATCTGGTCCTTAGGAGGGGAGAAGGGAAGCAACTTGTTTGCCTCAGAGCCTGGAGGAAGCTTGCTGAGCTGGTGATGAGAAATAAATAAGCATCTCCCTGCTTGCAACAGAGCGTGTTTGAGGTGTTCCTGTTACCTGATTGCACAGGCTGTGCTCCTGCCTTTGCAGTGGCTCAGGCTGGCACTGGGCCCACAGCCTCTTTCGCCTTGTGTCTGCTGACAAGATCACTTTGTCTCGGTGCTGGGAGCTCCTGACCTCCTGTACAGGTGTGTCTTTGTGACCACAGGTGAGATAATTGTATTCCAGCGCGACAGAGTCCAGGACAGATGATTCTGTGCTGCTACCTGCTATTAGGGAGGTGAGGTCTGGCACCTTGGCAGTGCTTTGTAATGACACCTCATGAAAAACCAGTTTGATTCCCTTGTAACAAATGGGTGTAGTGGTTTTACACCCTTCTACTCATCACAGCTCTGCTTGGGCTCTGCTGAAGCTTGGGTTTGGTGTCACCTTTGCCAGGGCTCACAGGACTGATGGGCTAGTCACCTGCCTTCCACCTGCAGTGCAGGGTGGGGGCCAGAGGTACATGGGGGAAAGTGGTCTTGAGGCAGCAGGAAGTGTCCCTCTCAGTGCTCTGGAGTGGGGCTGGTGAATTGCTCATAACTAGAATATGCTAATGAAATTATTAAAGAATATATTGTAGTCACTACAAATACAAGCTGGACTGGGGAGGGAGGCTGTGTGCCTCTGGGCAGAAGTCACTGCTGTCATAGAGGTGACAGGGATTGGTACAACCACCTTCCCATCAAACTGGCAGTTTGGATCTCCAGAGTTGAGGGGTTCCTCACAGACATCTCTGTTTCTGAAGGGGTGTGTGCACTGCACCTCTGCAAAGGAACCTATGGTAAGGTTATGTCAACGGTTTTTAACAAGCAGTTTCTGGAAGTGGCAGCAGTGTGCTGCTCAAGTCACTTCTGTTTCTTCTTGGAAATCATCTTTTTAACCTAAATGCTGAGTCCTTTAAATCTATCCCTGTCAGGCACTCTTCCAGCCTGTGAGTAGTTTCTGTAGCTGCAGCTTCCTTGTGTGATGTCACTCTCGTGTCTCATTGACCTCAACTGATTTGTTTTGCAGTGTACTAAGGACATAAGGAAAGCAGAGAAACAGCAGTGAAACAACCATGAGCCAGTGCCAGCTGTGGGACACCTTCA